TCTTTCCCTCACTCTTTATGTTTTTAAAGTCTTATTTTTAAAAATTAGGAAATGATTGACATTTTAAACTCTCATACAAGTAATGTGATGCATTTTTACTATACAATTTTACTTTTATAGAGTTCTATATAACCAAAGAGTTCTAAATTGCTCCATATTAGGAGTGACTATACTTCCAGGAACTAAAAATTAATGATCAAACCATATTTTAAGGATAGCTTCTATTACATATCTCTTTAATAAGCAGGAAAACCTTTAAACCAAATTTAAACAGGATAAGCTCCCATAAATATCAATTTATATTATACATCAAAATAACATTCTATCTTATTTTTAAAGCTGCATTTTTTAGGTTGTCTCTTAAATCAATCATGGCACTAAGAATATTCTATTGTATACTGCATGCACTTTCAACCCGAAACAGGCACTATGCTGGACCCTGGGGATACAGATACGCATGAGTGAGACAGATATAGTCTCTGCCATGTTGGATGTCACCAGTTTCATATTTTTCAAAGTGTTTTTAATTTATTATCTCAAGAGCACTTTTAAAGCTTCATAAGTCTTCAATGTGAAGGACCAGAAAAGGCTTTACCATATATAATCTAAAATGTGAAAGACAGCAAAGGAAGTATAAAGAACCAGATTCTAAGACCTCTAATGAATGACCCACGACAAATCATTCTGTATACAGATAGCATATACGGGGCCTTTCCAGCTCCAGGAATCTGTGCTTTCGTTTTAAAAAACATGTAATTGAATAAAATCCAAAAGCTGATTCACAACATATTCCAAGAAAAGTGAAATATTAGTTGTTGGCGCATGATGCCAAACACTAGTCAAGCAGAAGGAAAAAAAAACCTAATTTCAATAAGATGATATGCTTTTAAAGAGTATACCATGAAATACAAGTATATCATAAGAAGTCTCAGGGCTCAGAGAGCTGTGAGGAACTTTCTTCCTAACAACCTTGGGTCAGATGATAACTGGACAGCATCATTCTCTTAACCACTCAGTGAGAAATTAGACCTTTTCTGGATAAATATTTATTCTGATGTATCAGTGATTCTAGCAACTACTTTCAATGTGCCAAGGCAAAAAGTGATTCAAGCGACTTATTATTGCCATCTGATGCAGATGTAATTAAAGGACAGGAAGAATTACTACCTCATCTTGCCAACAAGAAAACTGAAGTGGAAAAGGCAAATGACTAACAGAAGGCAGATCACCACATTAGTAAGAGAAATATGGGCATATACTGTTAAGTTCCAGTTGGTCTCCTTTAGAGTCTGCCTCACTAGGGAAGCATACCTGGGAAAGAGCCTTGTGGCATAAGAATCTAGTAGTCTGACCCTCAGCCTCTTTAACAACTGGGTCACATGGGGATGCAATAAGCCTCGCTATAATAAATGAGTCGAAGTAAACACATCTTTGTTGTAACAACACTGAAGGGCTGATCTATTGAGATGTCATTTCTAGAATGCATTTCTAAAGAAATAACACCATCACTGCTGACTTCAAAATAGCACATTGTCATTAAACTGAGTAAATGGGAATGAGTGTGCAAGAAGACAAGGCTTTTTGGTGATATGGTTTGGCTTTTTTTTTTAAGGCTCCAATTTGTTAGCAGGGGCTATACAACCTGGGGGGCGGTCATAATTCACATATTCAGAGCTATCTTTGCTTCTGTTGCTAAACACCATCCATTGGGACATATATTTACCATGTGAAAGCTGCTACATGCAAACAGAAATCCCCATGTTCAGAGCTAGTAAAACCAAATATGTAGGGGTTATGACTACTTGCTTCAGTAGAGAAACACAGTTGTATGATGGTTACTGACTATAGATGTCAGCTAGCCTATGAGAGGCAGGAGGGTGAATTTTTATCCCACTGCTGCAGATCCCCTTTTATAACTTCAGGTCTTACTGCAAAAATGGAACAAGTCTCGTGGCATTGGTGTTTCCAGGGAGATAACTGAGTTAAAAGGTTGTGCTACAACATTGTTCTTGGCCATTGTCTTTGAGCTTCATTCTAATTCCAAGAAATATAGTGTATGCCCCCTAAAATGTTACATACTACTTTAACAGCTGATATCTCATTTAATAAATTGATTAATAAACACTGACTTTATAATCACTCAAAGTATATATAAATACATATATATACACATACATTATATATACATACATTTTATATATATATATATATATCCCTGTATATATGTAACACTTGAGAATTATGCCTATTGAAGTGTTCCCAGCCTTTTGTTCTTACAATAAACAATCAAAGGGTAAGAATGTGCTTTCTCTTATTAATTTTGGGTGATTAATAGTCAATATAAGTTTTTCCTATTGATAAGGCAACAAATAGGATTTGTTAAAAACCGTATTAGAATAAAAGTCATTTCAAAATCATCAAAATACCAATCCCATTTTCCCTTGAGTACTATAATATAACACTCTACTCCTATGGACCCTTTTATGCAAAATACAAAAATTTTCCTTAAAAGTAGATCCCCATATCTCTAGGCCTCAAAGGGTAAGTAGCTGGGATCACAGGTGAGGCATTAAGGGAGCTTGGATTAAAACAAAAAAGACAAGGTGGGGAGTGATGAAGAATTTTAGTTCAAGTATAAAAATGCCATAATTCTTTGTTTCTGATAGCCTGTACTAGTCTTCATATTTTATAAATCAGAGACAAAAAACTCTATTGTGTTCATAATCCAAACCAAACTATGGGAGATTGGTTTTTAAGGAGCCACAGTGAATGAGACTAGGAAAAGGAGACTTAGGTTTTCATTCTGGCTCTTCCACCAGCAACTTAGATAACCCTAGGTAAGTAATTCCACTTAGCAGAGGCCTCATTTCCCCATCCATAGAATAAAGGACTTGGACTGCCCAGGAGTTACTAAACTTCAGCCCAGGTGAGTCTTTGTATGGTCTTCAAGCTAAGAATGCTTTTCATATTTTAAAAGGGTTAAAAAACAAAACACAGAGGTGTACATATGACGGAGATGCTATTGGCCCACAAAGCCTAAAAGTAGGATTTGGGGTAGAACCCAAAGATCAACATTTTTCAAGTGGTTTTTCAGGTTACCCTGATGCATATCTAGGTGTAAGATCCACTGGGGCAGATGATCTCCAAAGCCTTCTAGCTCTTTCTAGGATTGGGCATTCTTCTACAAAGTGTGGTCTTCTGATAATACCTTGAAACAAGTTTCTTGCCAAGAGTTTATTTTGTTCTTTGCAAAGTGATTATCTCACTATATTTGGATCCCAACTTTGCCATTTGCTGGGTAATCTTAGCTAAGTAACCAAACTCTTCTTATCCTTAGGCTCCCCATCTATAAAATGGGGACACCACTGTCCATCTCAGAGGTCTGCCCTAAGGATTGAGTGCAAACCACCTAGCATGAGTTTGGAGCAACATGGATGCTCAATAGATGATTACTAATATAACTGATTAAATTTTATTATCATTAAATCTTGGCCACTAACCATGCCAAAACAAAATGTTAGGCTACTACCTTTCAAAACTATTTATGAAAAAGTTAGAGAGGTTATTAGAGGTAAGAACAGATCCTGTTAACAGAGAGCAAAATCTCTTGTATTTCTCCTTCCTTTCACAGTGTGAAGGTATGTAGCTGGTAGCACATAACATGAAGGGACTCTAGGAACAGACATGGACAAAACTAAAAAGTGTGAAATTTTACTTATAAAGTTTCTTCCTACTCAGTCAAGCTAACAAAATGACCAGTTCAAGTCCTCACACTTTGTGGCAACAGCAGGTCACTTTTATAGAACTATTTCCTCAGTTGGTTTTGGAAAGGAAGAACAAAGGTCTCTGATTTTTTTTAACCCACATTAACTTTTACTTATCATTCAACATTAATGTGCCTTTTTTCACATAAGAAAGTACTGAATCTCTTACTTTACAAGTAATATCTAGACCATAGGAATTTTCTCCTCTACTTGTGGCGCCTCCCATTTTTTCAATTCTTGAGATCACTCCCAAAGGAACATCAAGTATTAGAGCAGAATCCTGTAACGGACAAAACGATAAAAGTCAATATTTCTGTCAGTATAATTAAAACATCAAAACAACCACATGGTCTCAGGACATTTTAACCTTTGCCCTTTTACCATTTTTTTAAATAAATAAAAGTATGATATAGACTACACATGAAAGAGCAAGAATTAAAATAATCAGTTATACAACCAAAATGCATCCCCCAAATGTGCCATTCTGCATTGCCTCCACAATGAAGATTAAATTCCTAGGTATACAATTCAAGGGCTCATGATGCTGCTTTCAGCCTGTCTTTGCAGGCTTCTATCCCATGACATTCTGTGCACCAACTAAGTGAACACCTTTATTGTTCTTCAAATATTTCATCTACAATTAGGCCTATGTACTTTGTGCATGGTGTTCCCTTTGCCTAGGATGATCTATCTTTCCCAACTACCAAAATTCTTCCTGTGGCTTCAATCTAGGCTCAGCATGCATCACCTCTCAGGAAGTCTTACTTTCTAATTAGGTCACATAATATTGACCACTTCCTCCTCTGAAGTTCTACAACATTTGATTTAGACTGCTGTTACACCACTTGCTTCACTCTATCTTGTTAGCATAAACTTCAATGTCTGTTTTCCCTCACTAGAAAACAAATACCTAGAAGTCATGCCTATCTTAGGCATGAGTACATTTCCCAAAGCGGAAGGACCTGAATGTATAGCAATGCTCCTCTATCGTTTCTTATCCAATGTTGGCTGCAAAGGTTCCATAAGACTGCTGGCATGACGAAATCATGTTAGCGAAGTCATTCTACAATCTTTGCAATAAGATAACAGCAGCTGCCATATATAGAATTCCTCGTCTGTGCCAGGTAATGCAACAGGGGCTTGACATGCATCATCTCATTTTATCCTTACAACCATTCTGGATGTAGGTGAAGTATTCCTGTTCCTGAATGTGGCAATCAAAGCTTTAAAAACCTTCAGTAAGTTGCTTAGAAAATCTCAACCCTTGGGAAAGGGTTGAGATTCAAGATGAGGTCTCGGAATACCCATCAAAGGAGCCATAAAAATGGTCCTACACTTTGACTCCACAATTGCACTTCTAAGAACTTATATTACAGCTATGGCACACCAGAAGGAAAAGCTGTATGCATAAAGATGCTCAAGGGAGCCAGAGGTGAACATCAGGGTCTAGAAAATTACATTTAGTCAACTCAATTGAATTAGCATGCAGCTACTAAAATAATTATGTACATGGAAAAAATAAGTTTAAATAGAAAAAAGCATACAAAATACACTGTGACTACAACAATGTAAAATACACATTCATATGCACAAAGATGGGAAGGGCTACACAATTTTTTAAATCCAATATTTTCTTTATTGTTGTATTAGATGACTTTGTTAATAAAAAAAATTTAAAGGTGTTTATTAAATTTTTGTTTTTTAAAAGATGTTTTTTCAGGGGTACAAATACAAATTAGGTTTTTTTCTCTTACTTTAAATCATTCTCCTTAAAACACAAAATAAAAATAAGCGTTTCTTCATAAAATATAATATAGTTCATGAGTATTCCAGAAATTCAAAAAGAGTAAAACTGTGGTGCATCCATGCTATGGAATGCTACTTAGCTACAAAGATGAATGTACTATGGATACATGCAACACCTGGAAGAATCTTAAGGGCATCGTGCTGAGTGAATAAAGCCAATCTCTAAAGGTCATGTGCTGTATAATTCCATTTATAACATTCTTGAGATGACAAAATTGTAGAGACAGAGAGGAGAGAAGTGGTTGTCAGGGGTTGAGGGGAAGGAAAGTGTGGCTATAAAGGGGTAGAATGAGGGAGTTGGTTTATATCTTGACTGTTGATGATAATTACATAAATTTATAACTGGCATTATATGTGACAGAATTGAATGCAAAAATATACCAAAAAAATGAGGGCATGAAAAAACTGATGTAACTGTATTGTGCAAATCAATTTCCTGGTTTCGATAAAGCAGTACAGTTATTGCAGAAGTTGGGTGATATGTACACAAGACCTCTCTGCACTATTTTTCAAAGTTCTTGAAAGTTCATAATTATGCCAAAATAATAAGTTTAAAAAGTATAAGGATATGGTTATTATGATGTAGAGAAAAGAGCACAAGCTATTAAGTTGGACATAAAATGTTCAAATCTGAGTTTTGACATTTATTAGCTGTATGATTTTAACAAGTTACTGTATCTCTCAGCCACATTTACCTGTAGAGATTATTACTAGTAGAGATAATGGCCATAAATTATCTGGCATAGTGCCTGTCATATGGTAGCTAAAAAACAATGGAAGTCATTACTATAGCAAAGAATCCCTTATTATTTGAAAGACATAGCTGTGCTATGCAAACTAGAGTGGCTCAGTATGCTCTGGCATGTAGCTATAGGTCTTTCTGTTTGTACCTATAAGGAGGCATTTTTTTAGCTGTTCATGGGATAAGACATCTCACTACATGACTGAAATCCAAATCCCTAGATAAAGACACTACTCAGTAACCATGTACATACATAGTTGTATATTATAATGTATTCATTTCTCAATACAATCTAGTTATTAAAACATACTATCAGGCAGTCTTTTCTTATGCTTAGATTATATTGAGATTTATTAGTGTCTGTTCAACTGCATTCCTAAATACATAGAGTAGACATTAAATAAAAGGCTGACACTCTAATAGCAACACAGAAGCAAGAATACAAAAAAAGGGAGAAGAATTAAAAGTGAGATGAGACTTTGCTGTTCTTTGTCCCTGTATTATAGTGGGAAGTCTATAGTTCTGATTGTCCTGACCCAACACAAAACAGAAAATGGGACACAGACCCTGGCCAGTAAGGCTCAGTTGGTTGGGCATCGTCCTGCACACTGAAAGGTTGCCAATTTGATTCCAGGTCAGGGCACTTGCCCCGGTTACAGGCTGGATCCCTGGCAGGGATGTGCAGGAGACAACCTATCAATATTTCAATCTCATGTGGATGTCTCTCTCTCTCTCTCTTTCTCTCCTTTCCTCTCTCTCTAAAAATTCATAAAAATCTGAGGAATCTCAGAGGAAAGGGGAGCAGAGGGAAGAGATTAACCAAAAAACTTATATGCATATATACATTGCTCATAGACACAGACAACAGGTTGGTGAAGGCCTGGAGCAGGGCAGGAACCGGGTGGAAGGAGGCAATGGGGCGAAGATGAGGAGACATCTGTAATACTCTCAACAATAAAGATAAAAAAAAGTTTAAAAATCACTTAAAAAATGGGACACTGAGGAAAACCAGTCAGCTCCTGACCAAGGGCACCCACAGTCTAATGAGGCTACATGTCATGTTCTCCCTGAGTGACAGGTTCAAAATCAGATAACCCAGCCGGCCAAACTGGAAGATCCAGGAATAGGAAAACTAGCTTCCCTCTCTAGAAACCTAAGTCGTCACTATCTAAATATCATTAAATATTTAAGGATTCTCAAAGGTTCATTCTAACTCACAATTCTGTACCTCTGACCTCTGAGTATCTAAAATAGTTAAGCAGTAAATATAACAATCTAAAAAGATGCATTCATTTATTATCTCTCTTTTGAGTATATACTGAGTAACAGAAACTGTACTGTTCCTTAGGGGCCGTGGAGATGAAATAAGATGCAGATATTGCCCTCAGGGAGCTCAAGGCCCAGTCTGGGAGAAAAGACACATGTATCCAAATAGCCACAATGCTAGGATGCATGTGCCCAAAGCCATAAAAAAGATCCAAAGTGGAATGAGAGGTTATAGGAGGGCAAGATGATTTCCTATCAACTGGGTCACATGAAGGTTCTGTGGTAAAAGTAACATTAAGGATGATACTTAAAAAAATTGAATAATATCAGTTGGAGATTACCCTTTCGTGAACAGGTAACAATAATATCAGCTACCCATGTGGAAAAACATGGGGATTTTATATTAAAACAACAACAACAACAACAACACACACACACACACACACACACACACACACACACACACACACACACACTAATAGCAACACAGAAGCGTAGGCCAGGGCCAGGTTTAAGATAGGGTGGCTGCAGAATTCCCTGGGGAATAGTACTCCAAGGCTTGGATCAAGATGACTGGGTTCCATGGAATGTGTTTTGAGAAGAGAAATTCAATGACAGAATGATGGTTTATGAAGACTCAACTAGCAGCACTGAGCACTCCATGAATGGGAGTAGAAGGCTAAAATTCTGTATTTCTGTACCTTGAAGTCTCTCAATGGGTATAGAGGACTATACCCATTCCTTGGAATCCTGGAGGCTAATGTTTTAGTGCCAGTGAGAGGCTATGAGGATCTGAAAATGGAGAGTGACTGAGGTGGAAAGCAAAAAGAGATGAGTCTCTGGGGAAGAATCAAAGATGATTCAGATTTAGACTAAAGAGCCCGGGACAATGATGGTCCTACCAAGACATGTGAAGAACATAAGAGGAGATTCTGGAGGAAGATTAACATTGTCAAGTTTAGACACACTGGGTTTGAGGTTATGATAAATTATTCGAGAACAGATATCTAGGAAGCAGCTGGAAATACAGAACTGGAAGAGATCCCAAAGGCCCCTCAAATGAAAAATGTCTAGAACTAAACAAGTGAGTTTCTCTCTCCAAACTCCATCTTCATGTCTCCATGGCTGGCACTCCATCTATTCAGTTACCAAAGATGGAAACCTAGGAGTCATCCTTATCATCGCCCTTCTCCATTATCCTTAATTCAATCTTTCATCTTTACCTCTTAAATAAATCTCCAATCTATTAACCTCTCTCCAACTCTACCAGAAACTTCTCAACTATTGGAAAAGCCCCAGTGGTCTCTGCAGCTACTATTACTCAGCTTATAATTTTCCCTCCACTCAGCAGCCTGGGGGATCTTTTACAAAAGTAAATGTGATGCTATCATTCCTCTGTTTAAACCACTTCTGAAGCTTCTCATTGCTCATCTCTAAACACCCAAACCCTTAGCAGAGTCTACAAG